GGAGCATCGCCAGCAGGACTACGGCCTCCTACGCCCTCCACCACGCCTGGAGCCACCGGGCCACAGGGGAGCTCCCCAAGACCCATGGCTCCTCAGATGACCGCTGCTCCTCGCCCTGCACAGCCTGGCTTCCCTCCATCGTCAGGCCCTTTGGGGGCAGGACAGCCCAGTTTTTCGTCTATGCAAGGTGCCCCTGGTGGGCAGCCCCCTTACCCACCCTCATCAGGAACACAACCTAGTTTCCCACCATCTTCTATGGCTGGTCCAATGGGCGGACAACCCTCGTTCCCAGCAGCAGTGGGTGCTCCTCCATCATCGATGGGAGGCCCGCTAGGTGGGCAGCCTGGCATGCCTCCTTCATCAATGGCTGGAGCACCAGGTGGGCAGTCTGGCTTCCCTCCGTCGTCAATGGCTGGTGCACCGAGTGGGCAGCCTGGCTTCCAACCTGTGTCAGCGGCAGGACCTCCACCAGGAGTACGTCCATCTGGTTTTCCTCCATCTTCCATGGCAGGACCTCAACCTCAGCCTGGAGGACCTGTTTCTATGGGTGCACCACCAAGACCTGGGATGCCCCCAGGCCCAGGGATGCCCCCAGGCCCAGGAATGCCCCCAGGCCCAGGAATGCCCCCAGGCCCAGGAATGCCCCCAGGCCCAGGAATGCCCCCAGGCCCAGGAATGCCCCCAGGCCCAGGAATGCCCCCAGGCCCTGGAATGCCCCCGGGCTCAGGAATGCCCCCGGGCTCAGGAATGCCCCCGGGCCCAGGAATGCCCCCAGGCTCAGGAATGCCCCCAGGCCCAGGAATGCCCCCAGGCCCAGGAATGCCTCCAGGCCCAGGAATGCCCCCAGGGCAAGGAATGCCTCCTCGTCCAGGGATGCCTCCAGGACCTGGAATGCCCCCAGCCTCAGGCATGCCCCCCCGTCCAGGGATGCCACCAGGACCAGGAATGCCACCTGGGCCAGGGATGCCTCCAGGACCCAGACCAAGCATGCCTCCTACAAGCAGTGCAGGAGGTCCTCCAGTCAATGGCATGGGAGGTGGCATGCAGTCCAGGTACCCTGGCTCAGGGGCAGGGCCAGGTGCAGGGGGCTACCCAAGTGCGCCTCAAAGCCAGGGGCGCAGGCTGAACCCAGATGACATGCCTAGTCCTTTGCAAGTCATGGACGAGGACAGTCGATGCCGGAGTGGAGAGTTTATCACTAACATCAAGGGACAGGTTCCACCTCTGGTTACAACGGAATTCACAGTAAAGGACGGTGGCAACGCATCGCCCCACTACCTTAGATCGACAATGTACAGCATCCCTCACACTCCAGATATGATAAAACAAACTCATGTTCCCTTCGGCCTTGTCATTAGCCCCTTGGCCCAGGTGGGCAGCCATGACAGTGCATTGTATATTGGAACGAGCTTAGAATCAGGACCTGTCAGGTGCAACAGGTGCAAGGGCTATATGAGTCCCCTCATGCAGTTCATGGATGGAGGAAGGAAGTAAGTAGAATTGCATTCCTTTGCTTGTATTGTATAACCTCTTTATCTGACCCTTTCTTTGGTTATTGACTGTTTGTGTGTACATTTCATTCCAACTGATTGCCACCATTCTGCTTGCTGGTCAGAATGTTGGTCCTGTTGATATGTTTCACATCCCTCACACACATGTTAATTGTAATCTATTATTAATCTGATTTTTATAGAGCCAGGATACGTATTAAGAGAGCTGTCTTTCAGATACCAGTGCAAGCTATGCCGTGGAGTGGTGGAGGTGCCAAAAGAATATTTCTGTCACATGGATGGCCAAGGATCACGTGCAGACAAGTATCAGCGGCCAGAGTTGTGCTGTGGGACTTACGAATACATTGCCACACCGGAATATTGTCGAGTAAGTACGGCCTGCTACGGCCTGGAAAATTTGTGCTTATGGCTCTTTATTTTTTTCTGTAACTAAATAATTTTGTGTTCTTATATATATGTGTGTGTGTGTGTGTGTGTGTGTGTGTGTGTGTGTGTGTGTGTGTGTGTGTGTGTGTGTGTGTGTGTGTGTGTGTGTGTGTGTGTGTGTGTTCAGTACTGTTAGTGTGGTTACATATTTTTTTATTTTGCCTGCATGTGTTTCAGTTTATGTAATAGATACTTTTAGTGCATCCCATTTGATAAGTGTGTGTTCGTAGGAATGCTTGAGGGTGGGTCTTAACTGTGTGCTATCGTGCGTGCGTGTGCGTGTGTGTGTGTGCGTGTGCGTGCGTTTGCGTTTGCGTTTGCGTTTGCGTTTGCGTGTATGTGTGCGTGTGTGCGTGTATGTGTGCGTGTGCGCATGTACGTGTGTTTGTGGATTTGCGTTTGCGTGCGTGTGCTTGTGTGTTTTTGTTCTTGTGTGCATGTTTTTTATATATATATATATATATATATATATATATATATATATATATATATATATGTATATATATATATATATGTATAATGTAAATGTATATGTCTGTCTGTCAGTGTGTTTTGTATTTGTGTATTTTTTGCGCGGGGATGGGCAATATCGTGATACATATCAAAATATATATATATATATATATATATATATATATATATATATATATATATATATATATATATATATATATATATATATATATATATATAAGGATGAAGGTGCTCTCTAGAAAGTCGAGCTGTTGTTGGAGAATTCTTACCAGTCGTTAGTTGGCAAATTAGGAAGTGTATTTTCATTCTTACCTCAGATACGTTACTTAGGATTTCATTTAAATATTACTTAGTGTCTTTCGCATATGGAAGATGAAGATAAGTGATGATTTGTGTATTTTATTATTTATTCATGTTTATCTCTGGAAAAAAAACAATAATCTTTTGTCTGTACAGATAATGCATCGTAGTCTCTCTCCTCTTCTCTCCCCCTCTCTCTTCTGCTCTCTTCTATTTTTTTCTTTTTTTCTCTTTCCAAATCTTTTCATGTCTATCTTTAAAGAATAGATGTATTGTAACAGCTTTAGACAGTTCTGTGTATCGATGCCTATTGCTCTGTGTGCGTGTTTGTGCGTGCATGTATATATGTATGTATGTATATTTGTATGTATATTTGTATGTATATTTGTATGTATATTTGTATGTATATGTGTATATATGTATATTTATATATGTATATGTATATATGTATATGTATATGTGTGTGTATAAATGAGGCCATAGATGTTTGTGTATATTGTATGATTTATAATTGTTTACATTTCCCCATAGAACTGCACAAGTGTCAGACTGACCTGCCTTTTCCCATTGCAGGACAAGCAATTGCCTAAAGAGCCTGCCTTCATCTTCGTCATAGAGATGAGTCTGCTGATGATGCAGAGAGGAGTGATCCACCTTTTATGCCAGAACATGAAGTCCATCCTGGAGCACTTGCCTCGGGACTGTGCCAATGGCGCTCCAGACACCGAGTCACGGATGAAGGTTGGGTTCATCACGTACGACTCTGCAGTCCACGTCTACAAGCTTGATGGACAGGCACCGGAAATGTGTGTGGTCTGTGATCGCGACGAGATGTTTGTCCCAGTGCCCGGAGGCGTTCTCTGCAGTCCCCAGGAGGCTGCTGATAACATTGATAAATTAATGGAAAGTATTCCCGACAACTTCAAGGCCACACGGGAGACCTCGGGTGCCCTTGGCTGTGCCATCCAGGCAGGTATGGCCGCCTTGCAGGCGTCTGGGAGGGTTGGCAAATTGTTTGTTTTCCATTCCTCTTTGCCTGTGGGCGGTGGCGCTGGCAGCTTAAAGAACAGAGAGGAGAGGAAACTGCTTGGCACAGAGAAGGAGAAAAGTGTGCTGACACCACAAGGAAGCTACTACAACAATCTTGGCCAAGATTTGGTTGCTGCTGGCTGCTCTGTTGACTTATATATATTTAATGATGGCTATGTAGACTTAGCAACCATTGGCCAAGTACCTAGACTAACTGGGGGCCAAAGCTACAAGTATACTTTCTTCCAGTCCAACAAAGATGGTCCCAGGCTTTTGGAGGACCTCAAACTTAACATAGGAAGAAATATTGCTTTCGATGCTGTGATGCGGGTTAGAACGTCACAAGGTGTGCGACCTGTGGACTTCTTTGGCCATTTCTTCATGTCAAACACCACTGACATAGAATTAGCAAGTATAGATGCCAGTAAAGCTATTGCAATAGAAGTGAAGCATGACGACAAGCTGACAGAGGAAGACGGAGTGTATATACAAGTAGCCTTGCTGTACACCTCCTGCAGTGGCCAGAGGCGACTACGTATTTTAAACATGGCACTTAATATATGCACTCAGATGGCTGACCTTTATAAGAACTGTGACTTAGATACGCTAATGAACTTCTTTGGTAAACAGTCCATTACGAGGTTGTTGGAGACCAATGCAAAACAGGTATGTACATGGTGTATTTTGCGTTTTAAGATCCTTCCATAGAAAGGATTTGGTAATATGAATGTGGTTTAATATTATATAATGAACTGGTTTAAGAAATACTCTTTTTCCTTGATACTCCTTGATGTAGCACCCTATTCTGTACTAATGTATTTGCAGGTAAAGGACGACCTTATCAGCAGAACAGCAAACATTTTGGCTTGTTACCGCAAGAACTGTGCGTCCCCTTCGTCTGCCGGGCAACTAATACTCCCAGAATTAATGAAGTTGTTGCCACTTTATATTAACTGCCTGAGCAAGAGTGATGCCATGAGTGGTGGCCAGGACCTGACCTGTGATGAAAGATCATTGCAGATGTATCTCTTGATGGCCATGTCAGTGGATGCATCGGTTGTCTACTATTATCCTCGACTCATTCCTCTCTCTGATGATGATCCTCAGGTAAATGACTTGGAAGGAATGACTCGTGTTGCTGCTCTTCATGGCTGAACTTGAAAACTGGTGCACAATATGAATATTACAATAGATATCTGATGAAAATATTATATAGACATATCAATACTCATGTGGAAAGATACCTTGTAGCATTAATTCCTCTATTGTGTAAAGTTTTATGTCAGTTAAGAGCAGACAGTTTATCATGTATATTTTTATTTGCAGAACACTGGAGTTCCCGCTCCACTTCGCACGTCCTACGACAAATTGCGGCCAGATGGCGTATTCCTACTTGAAAATGGAATCCAGATGTTTATTTGGGTTGGTTCAAGTACTTCTCCAACTTGGTTAGACAATGTGTTTGGAGTAAATGCCCCCCACCAGCTGGACCCTGTGATGGCCGAGCTGCCCGAGCTGGACAATCCAATCTCGAGGAGAGTGCGGGATATCATTGCCTCAATACGTGCTCAGAGGAAGAGGCACGTCAGGGTATGTCAATGAAGAGCATTTTATACATTGTCAGTTCTGTAAAATGATGAATAGAATTGGAATAGAATTTTTAGAAATAGTTTTTGCACACATTAACCCGTTGGATCTGATTGTGCCATGGCAATCAAATCGCAAAACAAATTGGGGCATTGGACTTATGTGAGCGGCCGCTCTGCCAGGCGGCTGCTTGTAGGCCGGGTGCACATGAACACGTGTGCGGGTGACAAGACACTTTACCTCCTATAACTCAGTGCAAGAAAATAACTCAGTGCAAGAAAAATAAATGATGTAACTGTTACTTTTGTTATTTAGAATTTTTTTTATGTAAACAATCTGTGTGACTGCTCATGGCAACAGGAATATGATGCTGAGCATGCAAATGGCATCCTCCATGGAGCTGGCGCTCTTCTAGTCATTGCTCGCTGACATCTCATAAATTGATGGGAATAATACAAAATTGCCAAATGAGTAAAATAAACCACCTAATAAGTTTGTGCATTCGTGTGGCGTCTTTTGCATCACCCCGGCCTTCAGCTGAAACACTCAGTGGCATGTTTGCGTCACCCAGCCTACAGCCAGATTTTCCTGTGACAGTCCTCAGCCCCCAATTTTTCATGACAATGTCACATCACCTGGATCCAAGGGGTTAAGAGCCCTTGAAATATTCATTTGAATTTGTTGTAATTGTTTTCCAATTTCTAATCCCAACAGATGTTTGTGGTTCCTCAACAAGGAAAGCATGAAATGGTAATGCGAAATTATTTAGTAGAAGACAAGAGTATGTACGGTGCTCCTAGTTATGTAGACTTCCTCTGCCACGTACACAAGGAAATCCGCGCGCTCCTTTCCTGAGAAAGGAAGCAGCACTACCCGTGGACATCACCATCAGTGTCATCGCCGTCTGTTGATGCCTTCCCCTCCAGCAACTTGAGTTACCCTTGTGAGGCTCCGTTGTGTCCATCACAGCCTGTCCTTCCTCCGCTCAGTTCCAGTGTAACTGCCTCCAGCCTCACTCCCACCACTGTAGAAAATGTAGACTGTAGAGGAATCCCCAGCACCTCGACCGTCGCGCCTCAAGCCCCGTCGGGCGGGTCGTCGTCTCCACTCTTCCAAAGGAAAACCACCTTGGATGCCACCAGCCCATCCCAATCTCAGCCCAAGGGCAAAGTCACCTACCCAGGAGTAGCCTTCACACTCAAGAATTGGCACTGACCTTTCTTGAGGTTTCCCTTATTCCCTCCCTGCTTATTTCTCTTTGTGGCCATGACTGAAATTAAGGTGATAGGTGGTGCAACAGCAATTGTTAGTCTGCAGCCTTGTGCTAAGCTAAAGGTACAGGAAGCAGAAGGATTTTACAGTTGCTGTGTGTGTAGCACCTGTGATTTGCAAAACTAAACTCATGGGTAGTGCTGATTGCGTCATGCTTCTCTTAAGGTAGAAAGGTTATGATGATAATTATGAAATAAATGATCAAATGGGACATGATGAGAGTACGACTGATTGTCACAGAAGGTACTTGAAAGGGAACTGAATGGCGATGGATAGATTTTTATACAGACTTTGTTACCTTGTAGCTTTCTTCTGAGGAGAGGAATCATGTTGAATGAGCAAGGCTTGTCCCGGTGATGTATGCTGTGTCAGTGGAGAAAGATTTATTTTTATGTAACTTAATACTTGATAGATTTTCACATATAAGGAATTTTTTAATGAACAACTATTTTATGTTTTACATTATCAGAAGTTTAGTTAGTAAGGGAATACTGCATTTCATTTTCAAAGCTCTTGTTATTTAATTGGTCAAATAGAGTTCTAATGCGTATTGGGAGGAGACTTTGTTAGATAAATATTATTATATTAAGCCAGTTTTTATGGCAAATGCAATATGTTATATTTCGGTGTTACGTTATTCCAAGTCCAGTAAAGTTGTTGGCTTGTATGGTTGTTTTACTTATCCGAAGAAAATGCACTGATGTAAATATACAAGTTCAGGTAGAGTCCATTTCAAATTGCAGGATGGTCTTAATTACATAAACCCTTCCATTCCCATATCTTTTGTTGTCATGGGGGGTCTAGGAGACCGAGAAAGAGGGCCCCTTCTGTCCACTTCCGAAGATGAGAGCCGCATTGAAAGGAGAAACGGCTGGCTCTGTCTCCTGAACGGCCTCGGGGTGCCAGAGGTGTGGGATTTCCATTTAGTTATCTAGACCTTACTCCTCATGGGGGCCCAGACTTATCATGACCCATAATGATTTTGTACCTTTATTGGGGACATTGAGGCTTCCCCTTTTTCAACCAGTCATACCGACTTTTAACTCTTCCATTCCCCGACCCTGGTTCGCCTCTGATCTGCCTCGGAACATTGCTGCTGCTACTACTACCCCCTCCTTGGTACCTGCTGTCAGCTCGGTCCATTCCAAGTCACGCAACGTTCCGAAAACAGTCAATCAATCCTCTCCCCGAGTGCTAAGCTATATCCTCCACTACAACACCTCTTTCAGTTTTCTTTATTTCCAACCCCCCTTCTCCCTTATTACTACTATTCATCCTTATTGTCGTCGTCCTCCACATTACCACTTCACTCCACAACACTTGCTCTTCCTCCGTCCTCCGTACTGCTTCCATCTCAATAAACCTTCTGAATACTCTCTTTAGCCCAGTTGAGTGGGATCGATTTTTTTGTGATCCCCTCTTAGATCTAGGCGCCTGTCGGTCCTCTTCAGTTGAGAGCCATTATGCCGAATCAGCCCTACCATCTCGGGTACTCTTGAATAGAAGGTCCTCACAGCAGAACCCTATGCTATCCTCTTTGCCTTACAACGCATGTCCTCCATCTGTTCTCACCCCTCACTGTCTTCCCTGACTTGTGGGACTTGATATCACTCGTACAATCCATCAACCCTATAATCTTTAAGATACAAGACCAGTTTTATCTGTCTACACGACAGAAAGCAGTTGAGTTTTGCTGGATACCCAGCCATGTCAGGATACCCGGGAATAAAAAAGCAGAAGCCTTGGCACGAACCGCTGCTTTATCTTACCAACTTTTTTCACACCGGTACTACCCCCACTTAAAAGCTTTCTGCTGTCTTCCCGGTCAGATCTGACCAACAATAAACCACAAACCATAAGACCTTCCAGCTTTCCTCGGTCGGTACCATAACACCAGAACAGGCGCTACGAAACTGCTCTTGCTTACCTCTATCATCCTCCACGCAATGTTCCCTTTTCAGTCCCAGCTATCGTACTATACTCCCCTTTCTTTATTGAAGCTCGTTATCCCCTCTTTTCCTTACTTGACTTCACTCCCCCCCCCCCCCCCCCCCACACACACACACACACCATCCACCCTGCCGGACATCCTCACGGAGTCCCACCTTTTCAATTGACAACCTGTTCTCCATCCCCAAGACTCATGAATCCCCTCCATCTGATCTAATCACCCATTGTCCTTCACCCTTTCCCCTCCTATCAATCCTTATCCTACTCCATTTACTCCTCTCTTTCTACCACTTTCTTTATCATACTTACATCTTATAATACCATGGCCGTTGAATTCTAAGACATTCTGTTCTAATAAAGAACACCTTTTAGACCTCTTTCACCAAAATACTTTATTATAGTGCTATACGACCTTTAAAGCATTAACCATTGACCATACATTACCACCCTTACGGCCCCCTTACTCTGATAATACCCTCCTCTTTCAAGAATGTGTCTATACACAATCGCTGACGCCTTGTCACAGTTGCAGCTGAACCTCAAGGTTGTACAGCAACTGCCCTGACAAAAACCTCACTGGCAACCCTTTTCCTGTCCAGCCACACTCCTTCCATAACTTGTACCAGAATTGTTTCCGTCTACCCAACTGAATACCCTGCCTATGACAAGAATTGATCAGACTGCATTGTTGGCTATGATGCAACATCAGTATAGCGCTACACTATTCCCCCCAGAGGACACCAAAAAGTCCTACACCAATATCGCCACAACGACCTTTCACATACATAATTTCCACTATGAAGTTTATATTGGTGGAGAGTCCAGCCCTTTCCGCCCTTGTCAACCCCCCTCCCTTGTCAATATCAGAAATGGCGTTTTAGCCTCCCTACCAAGCACTGTCGCTCCATAGCCTGTCACGCACGTGTGCCAATTGAGATGGCTCCCATGTTGTATTGCATAGGGACTGCCCTACCTACACGTTTTTCTCTCTCTTTCGACTGCCATTTCCTCTGCCCCTTCCTCTTCTCCCCAAGATATTTCTACATATCTAGTATCTCTTCCTAATACTCCTTACGTTCCTAATTCTACACCCCCCCCCTTCCTTTCTTCCTGTCGAATACTTCCCATCATCCTAAAAGCAAACACGTCTGCTTCCTCTCCTCCTCCCATAGAAGGAGACATTTCGGAAATTATTGAAGACATTAAAAAAATAAATTCAAGTCATAACCCTTCCTCCTCCCCCCAAAAAAAAGCTCGTAAGATCAAGAGAGGGAGAATAAGACAGAGACTAAAAAAGAGTGAGAGTGAGAGAGCCAAAGAGTGAGAGTGAGAGAGCCAGAGAGAGAGAGAGAGAGCCAAAGAGTGAGGGACAGACAGACAGACAGACACACAGACAAAGAGAGACTGTTATGGTTACGACTGATGGGTGAATAATGGGGGAGTTTTTTTCTGGTTTATTCTAGGCTAGAAGCTGTGAAAGCTTAAGGAGTTGACCGAGCCGATGCTGAGGGCTGAGTGACTTCGGCTTTGAGTTTTCGAGGTGATCGCAGGTCGTTTTTGTAAGACAGTAGATGAAATGTTACTAAACATGAGAAAATTGAAAAAGTGTGCACGTGAACAGTACGGCTTTTATAAGGTTCCTGTGGTCACATGGTCAGACGAGGACATGGAGGGAGTTTGTCAGTGTCATCTCATTCGGGGCGCAGCGCACGTTGTTGCCGGCGATGATCTAGAGTACTAGAGGCCTAGGGCGAGGAAGAGGCGAGAGGTCACTAAACCACTCGGCCACCTACGCAGGATCGTCCTCGATCCGGCTGCAGTGGGTGAAGTTGAAGACGAAGTCTTGGCGACGGTGATGCAGGGAGCCTCGGCCCCGGCGTGGCGCGTAGGTGGGAGACAGCTTGCAGGCGGGCAACATGTGGAGCGGGTGCGGCGTGACCCACGACTGAGCGGGTCTCGGGAGGGATGACTTGACCATCTCTGGCTGAAGGTGTCTCTGGAAGACCAAGGGAGGCGCGCTCTGGGGAAGACACTGCCAGCGAAGTGGCAGGCGTGGAATCAGGAGCAAGACCTGTGGGAATGAGACTAGTGCGGGACCTTTGTCGATCGAATTCATCCTCATAGTGAGTGCTGGCTAGTTTGAGCGTGTCAAAGGGATACCAGGCTTGGCTGTAGGCAATGAGATTTTGACACAGCTTTGTTATGTCGAACCTTCAGAACCTGTAAGGGTCCTTCGTCAGGAGCAAGTTTAGGCATAGGAGAGGATTTATCTGTTACACGATGAAGACGAGGACGCCGTCGGGCAAGCTTGTGTTGCTGAGCGATGATGCGGTCCCCCTCCACACGCAGGCGCTCACGGGCGATGCGGTAGGCGTCTTGCTTCCGAGCGATCACGGTCTTCGCGTCGTCGGCTCCGTAGACAGGAGAAAGGCGTTGCAGAAGTTCGAAAGGGAGGCGCTGATCTTCACCGTACACGACGTAGTTGGGGATGTCACCGAAGGAGGAGTGGAAGGTGCTGTATGGCAGCCTGAGTGACGAGAATCCACAGGTCCCACTCGTTGTCTGGTGCGTTGATGGAGGTTCTGAGGTCGTTTAGGATCGTTCTGTTGAGTCTTTCGACGGGGCCATTTGCTTGAGGTCTGGATGGGAGTATATGAACAAGGTCCACGTTAAAGAGTTTGCATAGGCTGTTTAGTACCCGATTAGTGAATTCAGTACCGTTGTCACACATGAGGGGCACCATGGCGACAGAGGGCGTGAGAGAGGAAGGCGCGAGCGACTGTTAAGGGATAGGGGCGAGCTCAGCATAGTGGCTGAAACTGTCAATCATGACGAGCAGGTAGCGATTTCGGTTCTCTGTGGGAGTGAAACCGGAAAGAATATCCATACTCACTCTGACACACACACACACACACACACACACACACACACACACACACACACACACACACACACACACACACACACACACACACACACACACACACACACACACACATACACACACACACACACACACACACACACACACACACACACACACACACACACACACACACACACACACACACACACACACACACACACACACATACATAAATATAGAGAGAGATGGAGAGAGAGAAAGATACAGATAAAGATAAAGATAAAGAGAGAGAGAGAGAGACTGACTTACATAAAGACAGACAGACAGACAACTCTTTCCGACTGACAAGAACGAGGCGGCGAAGTTCAAAGGGTCACGAGAAACAGACCGAGACTTTGACTAAACTTTGACCTCGCACAATAGACCGCTCATGAAGACGAGTAAACAAGGTCATAAAATTCTGGTCGTAAACAAGCGGTGTAAACAAGAAGTGGGACGGATGTTTTTTTTTTTTTCTTTTTTCTTCTTCTTCTTTTTTGTTGTTTTCTCTTTCTTTATTCTGTTTGCTCTCTCTCTCTCTCTCTCTCTCTCTCTCTCTCTCTCTCTCTCTCTCTCTCTCTCTCTCTCTCTCTCTCTCTCTCTCTCTATATATATATATATATATATATATATATATATATATATTTTTTTTTTTTTTTTTTTTTTTTTTCTTTTCATTTTCATCTAGCTCCTTTTTATCAATTATTTCTGTATATAAACATTTCGTACCATATTTTATCATAGTTCAACTACTGTAACTAATCATGATTATTCTTTCTAATCTTCTTTTCCTTTTCCTTCTCCTTCTTCTT